TCAGAAGTAAGTTGCAGCAGGAAAGAAATGATAGTCAGACTCATAAGGTTTAATTCAGATGCACTCACATGTATATTTTGGTGTGAAGGTGCTAGGAGGACTGTAGAGAAATGAGAGAGTAAGCACTATCATTATTATATAAAGCAGGGTGTGTAATTTTAAAACAGCAATCACATAAATTATTATCCTGGCTATTGCTGATTAAAGCACAGTCTAGAATATTCTTTCCTAGTCATATGTTCTTTAGCTTAAACAAAATGGAAAGCCATTTAGAAAAGCCAGCCTTTATTTCTTTTATAATACTTACAGATTATGAACATTTACATACAGAGATATACAAAAATATTAGTATGTCTGAGTGTGTTCACAGTTTAAAAGATGTCTCCCTATTTGGATGTCCTTTTCAGGACTTGACTAATGGTCCATCTTCCAATTGTCTACATTTTTTTCAGGTGAAACAGACCCCAAAAGCTCATGTCAGAGCTCTGTATTTCTAAGAACCTATTTATGTGTTTAATATTAATATTTATTTTAATATAATAACTTATTAATATTGTTTAATATTAATAAACAATGTTTATTTCTGTTTGCTTACGTAAAGAAATGCTCTTGCTTTCTGTGAAGAATATGTGTATGTTGCCTCAATTACGTAGCAGCGTGATTAAAAATTGTCTCTGAGTAGTTAAAGCTCCCATTTGGATTTTTCCCATCATGACATCACTTGAGCTTTTTTTTTTTTTTCCCCTCAACCTTCAATGTCTCTTGCACAAACCAGTGTGGTGCAACACTTTTTTTCAGACATGCCGGATCATTTTCCAGAGAGAAAGGTGAGGGAGTTCATGAGCGGTCCCTGTTGCTCGTTGCCTGCTGGGAAGAGACAATTTGCTAATCGTGGTGAGAAGTTCATGTCACTTAGTGACACAGCGGTCTGTGGCAGCTTTATCAAGATGGGAATGTATAAAAGCAGTTGTTGTGGACAAGAGAGTACTTGGAGAAGCTGAGCAGGTCCCAGAGCAGAACCAGGTAGGATGGACTGGCCACTGCAATCACTTTCCACCTTCTTTTTACCGATGCCTGAGGTTCACTAGGGTGAGCTGAAGACCCTGGTGATGTGAAGTACTTTTCACATCACATTATTAAGGAGCAAAACACAATCTTCCCTTTTTTGGGTCAGACTTATAATTTTAGAATTTAATGAAATCCCCATAGACGATTAAAATATATAATATTATTTATATATTCTAGTGTTTAAATATTTTAGTATCATATTTGGCTGAATATTATAGTCAATAACGGTGATTTTTTACGAATATATTGCATTAGTTAGTGCTATTTGTAACAGTAAATTGGACTTTGTAGCAAGAAATATCCCCAGACTTTCACTTGGCGTATGTTACATAAGAGGTACAGAGAAAATTAATAGATAGCTATTTAGCTTTACTGTAAAATCTTCCTAGCGATTTTGTATTGGCTTTTAAAGTAGAAAAATGACTATTATTATTTAAATAATTAGGATTTTACATTTATTATCAGAGCGATTAGAATTCAATAAATCATTATCTAACGATATCTGGAATAAAGCAGAAAAAATAAATAAAAGGGACATTTTAATAATTAACCAGTTTGCCTTTTTTGTTATAATTTGAAAGCAACTTAGATGAATTTCAAAGGACCTTATCTTACTGAACAGGTTCAAATAAAAATGAATAAATGTCCCAATGCAAGAATTGATCATTTTGTCATATCAGTGTCACTTGGAAGTTAAAAAATAGACCTTGTTTAAACAGGTTTGTTTGCATTTTAATACATGACTAACTGCTAAAGGAGATTAATTATATTTCTTACTTTTTTATTAGTTATAACATCTTGAGTATATGGTAGTTCAAAACAGGAATCTGTGTTGAAGCTAGTGTAGGCTGCCAATCACTAATGGAGAGCATTCACTTCATTATTTTTACTTTTATAGATATGAAATATATTTTTTATCTTCTGAAACGTGCCTTCAAATACATTTTTTCCATTTGATATACTGTTTCAATTGATGTATTTTTTTAAAAATACTGTACTGCATAAATTATAGTTTCAAATTTTAATACATTTCAGCTGATATGTCATAAATAGTGTTTGGACCAGGTAATAACACATGCAGGCTAAATCCATGACATGTCTTTTTTTCTCTTGTCAGCTGTTATATTTTGTGACACTGAATTTGGATATGAAGATTTCTTATCTTTTCTTTGCTGTTCTCTTCTTAGTGCTCCAAAGCACTTTAGGTAAGAACTACATAAAAACTAAAGGAAAAAAAAAAGTTGATGAGGGGAAATTTTGTATATTCACAGAAGTTGGTATTATGACTTTTCTGAGCTCTTTTTCTAAATAACTCCATTACCTGAAAAGGTTGCAGCAGGCATTTTGCACAGGAATAGACCTGAGGCAGTGGTATGTCAAGCAAAAATGAATAAAACCTCCTCTTCTCCATGCAGGTTTTATGCGTGCACCTAATAATGAGATGCAGTGCAAAAACGCTGGGGGCTTTTGCTTCATGGATCGCTGTCCTTCTGACATGAGGCTCTTTGGACGTTGCCAGCAAAAAAGACCTTGCTGTATGACTATGGTGAGTTGAGGAATCACTGAAGATGAAGTGTTTCCTGGGAAAACCTGTTCATTACATACATCCAGTCTGTCCATCAGATGCAAAGCACCTCTAGTGCAAACCAGCAAGGGAGCAGAGTTGTTTTGGACTGAAAATGTAGGCTTAATTTACTTCACCAAGTATTAGCAAACACAAAAACGGAAAACCCTCCCACCAAGTAAACTTCGGGATTTGGAGAAACTCCTGAGTGATCTTTGAATCACTCAGGAAAGACCAGTATTTTGCATAATTTATAAAATGTCCTTGTAGTTAAACTACATTGCTACCACAAATATAGACACTACAGTGGGCAGGTGACCAAAATGGGAAAAACTGTCCCTATGTGAGGGTGCAGAGCACCTTCCTCCTTTGAAATTCAGAATGGAAACTCACTTTATTGTTTTTCCTTTCAGAATCCTAGGCCTTTTTAGCCTGGAGAAGAGAAGATTGAGATCTCATCAATATGTATAAATACTTGAGGGGAAAATGTAAAGAAGATGGGGCCAAGCTTTTCTCGGTAGTGGCCAGTGACAGGGCAAGGGATAATGAGTATAAATTAAAACACAGGAAGTTCCAACTCCATGTGAAGAAGAACTTCTTTACTGCGCCACGTGCTCTAGGTGACCCTGCGTGTGCAGGGGGGTTGGACTAGGTGATCTCTAGAGGTCCCTTCCAACTTTAACCATTCTGTGATTCTGTGATTCTGTGATTCTGTAATTCTGTGAATCAACAGTAATGAGATTTGCACAGAAAGAAACCCTAGGGAAAATACTGAATGCACAGCTGGAGTGTTAATATATAATAGTCTGTACTCTACCTGTCTCTATATTGCAATAAATTTGTCCCATAAAACTTGTGTTTGTTCCTTACACCCATGAGGAATTGTTGTTTTGCGTTTTTGTCAAGAAATCTGCCTCCCATCTCTTCCAAAGGCAATGAAATGTGCACTGCGGGGCATTTTTTCCGAGAAGGGAGAAAACAGTGAAGCAACATACTGAAATGCGTATGGCCTGATCCTATTCTTATTTGTCAAACCAGTAATGACTGTGAATAGATTCTCTGAATTATGATTGTGATAGCAGAAAGCTGACCCCAAATTCTGAATAGCCCTTTTGCTAACTACTAGTATCAGCAATGGAATTAATAATAATAATAATAATAATAATAATAAATCTTCTGAATGTGGGGAGTTTTTTTTGTAATTACATTAAAAGAAGAGACGTGATTTTCAAACATTTAGTGAACAGGCCCCAGATTTTCACGTATCACAACGCATCACAGCAGTGCAGGTGTCAAATGCAGACCCTTGAAAAAAGATGCAGCTGGAAAATGGCAGAGAAGAAGATAACAGGAACATAAAACAGAAGAAAAGGTAATATGAAATCATGAAAATTCCTTTATATTAATTAATAGAATGACACCAAAGAATGGGCATGGGGATACCTTTGGCCATACTACATAACTAAGAGGAACCCTTGCCAATAGCAGTCTCCTAGGCACCTCTAGGTACCATCCACGGACATTTTCAGTTTTAGATGGAGACCCTATTTTGAAGGATAGGAGATTTTAATAGCATAGATATGGCCAAAAACATCAGTTGACTGCACAGTCAGAGAATGGGCTCTAGTGCTTTTTGATTTATAATACACATACATCGCCACACAGATGTTTGCAAGCCAAACATTATCAGTGGATATTTAACAGGACTCAGTGACACATGATACTTAATTTAATTTAGTTAAATAAGCTTCATTTACAGCTTGATTTTTATAGACAATAATAAAAAGAAAAACCACCCTGACATACATGAGCACGTCAGCAATGTGGTTTTACAGTGACATGCTTTTATTAGATTTGAAGCTGCAAATCTCTTTTTGAGGTGTACAAGAACTCCTCAGATCTTCTGGTGCTCTCAAGGGTCTTCAGCTCCATGGGAAAGGCTCTTCGAGCATTGACCAGAGACGAGATCCATTGATGTCAAAAGAAAGAAGATGTCTCACAAGTTCCCAGAGTTCTTGTCTGAGTGGTCAGTGAGGTGTCAAGTTTAGGAACCAGGACTCCTGAAAACAAGATAGATGTTTAGCTATTTTTGTCTATCTCCACCTAACCAAGTAAAAAATACCTTGTAGTCCCAGACTGACATAACCATCTTGTGATAATCTAGCTAGAATAAATCTAGGTTAGGAATAAAGAATGTCACTGGTGAAAGTGGCTGATCCTCTCACTTTCAGTATAAATAACAAGGGTGCTCTTTTCCTTTCTTTCTTTATTTTTTTTTCTTTTTGTATTAATCAGTCTTGCTGAAAGCCAGTTAGCTCAAATATAAAGACAAGCAATTAAAACAAAATAAAAGATGCATAAGGTACAAAAGAACTAGATCTGATGCTGCTCCTTTGACATGAAATGGCACAAACGTCAGAGCTAGATGATAGCATGTTCCAGTACAGCTCCTCATGGAGTCAATGCTGATGAAAATCTGCTTTATTCTCAGAGGAGGAAATTCTCCTCTGTCTCAAAGGAAACCTTTGACTTCCTTTACAGCTATTTGTGGGTTCAAGGGAGATTTCAGTGATACTCTCATCTAATATTGGGCACTTTGCACCAGATAACATAACCCAGAAGGAAATTTACATTACAGATATGTGTCCTGGCTTGCTCCATGGTTATTCTACACTGGTAAACCTTGCATTTTGGCAGCACAAAGCCCTTTGTGCTCAGGCTGAGCAGAGTCCTCAGCCCTGGACATCTCAAGGCAGTTGTGTTCACATCGTTCAGGCAGAGACAGCGTTGGAGCACAAGCCATTTCTGCTCTAGTACTATTTTATCAAGCTGGAGGATGAGCTATTAGCAATATGGAAAGGGTGCAGGCTTGAGTGTGAGCTCACACCTGCATTAATATCACAGTTGAGATACAGTCTCAGCAGACTTCTGAGGAAAACAACCCCATTGCTGGGAACAGAGCTCACCCTGAGCTCAGGACATCCTGCCTCATCCATCCGAGGACTCCATCCTCCTCAATTTCTCCCTGTAGTTTTCAAGGGTAAGCAAACTGATGCTGTTCCTTCCTGCTCCTCCAGTGACCAATATCTAATGTGAGATTCATATTGCTGTGGTTTATATAATCTGGGGTTGACAGCAGTGATCATTGGTGCATCAGTGACCAAGCAGTAAATGAATTTCACACACTCCAAAGATGAGGAGCACAGAGCATTCTCTTCAAGCTAAATTTTCCTAGAGATGAAGTGATTAAACTGAACATCAGCTCTTCTGAGCTGTGTGTCAGCTGAGAAGGAAATACTCTGATCAACACCACAAGATTATGCTTTTTCCTTGTCAAACACATAAACTAACAATTAAAGGGATCTGGGAGGGCATGGGAAAAATGGTCTGATGCATCCCATAAGGGAGGAAAATCAAGTAAGTTTTTTTTTTTAAAAAAATAGTTTTTTTAGTTTTTCAACAATTAAAGGGATCTCGGAGGGTATGGGGAAAATGGTTTGATGCATCCCAAAAGGGAGGAAAATTCAGTAAGCTTATTATTTATTTATTTAGTTAGTTAGTTTTTGTTTTCCTCCTGGTACAGTAGCATTTTACTGGAAAAAAATCACCTTACCATTTGCAGCATTTCAGCTTCCCTCCACGGCAGGTCCCCACATTAACCAAAGGTGGAGAACATGCAACAAAGGAGCAAGAGGCCCGGTTTTGTCGGCATGCTAAGGTATCAGCATCTTCTTGGCTGTAAGCTGAAAAACACAAGTGGCGGGTAAAGAAGATTCATGTGTATTAGTCACAGCAGAGGATGGGAGAGTTGCAGCACTGGGTTACCAGGCAGGGTGTGTATGCCAGGGCTTACAAGAAGAAATTCCCTGATTCCCTGAATCATCCTCTGTTCCAGAAAGCAGAAATCAGAAAGCAAAAAAAGAAATAAAGTGATTTTCCACCTTCTACTTTTTTAACTGGTGTCTGGGTTTGTGACTGTAGTAACCCAATATTCTTAATGTCTCAACATCCAAATAAAATCTAAACAAACCAGCAGACCATGATGTTAGATTTACAGTCTGGAAATACAGTCTTGCTGATTAATAATGACCTCAGGATATGTGTCTGCTTCTATCATTTCTCTTGGAGATACGTATTTGTTATGCAGTTACACATACACTCACTATGTTCTGTGAAAAAGCAATAGGAGACATAGAAAAATATACATGTGAAATGAATCTCTTAATACTCTTAGATAAACAGATATATTATTCAAATAACAATGTCCTAACTGAACTTCTTCAGCTCTCAGTTCAATTTTTACCAAACTGTTAATATTTATGATATCACAATCATTGTATCCTACTTTGAATAGCCTTTTCTACATTTGCAGGACAATTACACAATTTATTAACATTTTAAATACGGCAAAGCTCACGCAGATGGCATAAAACTGCAAAAGATGGATCTCATTCACAGCTAAATCAACGGGACTGGCAATTGTCCCAATAAAATATTTTATACATGTAAACATTCAGTATAAACTCACTAACTGTTGTGACTGGTGCTATACATGTTTTTAGCTAGGTGCCATGCTCGTTTTACCATGCCCAGTATGTTCAGAACTGAAGGGCCAAATGATCAGCTCAAACCTAACAAACAGCTGCATCTTCCTCAGTGAAACCACCTGGGGTTATCCCACTAGAAAATCTGGCCATGAGTTTGGGTTCAGAATATTTCCATGTTAATCATTATTTTTTCTCCCATAGCTTCATTTTGCAAGAACCACAAATGTGTGTCCCATGCCGAGGTCCTGAGACTAGCCTGGAAAGCCCTCTGTGCTCTGAACAAATGGGCATATACACATTTCATGCATATAGGCAGCACAGACTTCAGGCAAAGTCACTCCAAAGTTCAGCAGTCAGTACAACCTTCTTTCAAAAATAAGAGGTCT